CCGCCTGCCAGGCCACGTCGCACGCCATCCTCCCCAGCGCCGAGAGCACCAGGAAGAGGCACACGTATGCGGCGGGGGAGGGGGAGACGACGGGCGACAGACAACAAGGGCGGCCCAAGAAAAACAAAACGAGTTTAATCAGACGACCCAGAACTCGCTCCATCGGGAACGGGTTCGGGAGCACTGGCCGCTTCCAGCGGCCTTGAACTGTCAGCACTGTGGAGCTCCGCGCGGTCAACTCCGCACTCGGTGGCCCCAAGAATCTTCACGCCCGTTCTAGGGTGACACCCGCGCTCCAGACGTCTAATCGACATTCTCTGGTTGGCGGCCGTGCTCGGGACTTTGGACCTCCCTTTACAACGCTGCGTGAGGTTTCGCAGCGAGCCAAGAGATCCGTGAGCCCCGCACAATTTACAACAGTACACATGCAGATGACGGAACACGTCGTGCCCAAGGTCCCGAAACACAGAAAACTCATCCGACGGCTCAGGAGTAGCCACAGGAGTCGGGGGACCTTGGACTTCATCATTGCACACGCGCTGAGCCTCGTCAGCGGCAGCCAGAGCAACCCTCACAGCTTCAAGCTGCACGGGCCTAAAAGCCGCCCCAAACTCACGAAACCACTGGTCGCACACGTGTCGCTGGATCGAAGACGGAGAGCAATCACGGTAGTCCCTGCTCGTGAGCAGGCTCTTGAGCGACTCTAGAGTGCGAGCTACGCGGCCACAGCTCCTGCACTTGTAAGTGCTGGTGGCCTCGCAGCGAAACAAAACATGGCTGGTGACCGTGACCTTGGGAGGGGCAGGGGCTCTCAAGAGGCGGAGAGGACGATCAGGGTCGACATGAGTCCATGTGCCTGACTCGAGCAAACGCTGAGCAGCCCACGCAATGAACCGCACCGTGGACCTGTGATATTTTAATTCACCTGAAACCGCCGCACAGAAACCTTCAGCAAGCGTGTGAGAGCTAGCCCCTAGTTTGGCGAAAAAATCAGCCCACAGGTTCCCAGCCCAACTTTTGATGCACAGCCCACGCTCCAAAACGTCGTCAAAACTCAGATGGGCAGGGAACCACGAGAACTGGGGGTGACTAGACTTCAGGTCAAAAATGGACCTCCAGATCGATGCATGCTTGGACATGCCTTGGGAAAGATGCAAGCTCCAAGAGTTGCCTTCACGCACTACTGCCTGGAGGTCCGACACAATACACTGATGCTGGGGGTGATAAGCCAGACCCTGCCGCACTGCCCACCGTTCAGCACGACCTATGGTCTGACGCTCCCCTGGAAGCGCTCCATATACAGCCCTCAACGGAAGCAGACAATCAAACAACTGCACCACGCTCCAACCAGCTCTGGAGACCTCTGGGACCCCAGAGTGAAAGCAACTACCGTCAGTGAAAGACAGTGGGCCCCAAGGCCCAGAGACGTCCCCAAACTCAAGAATGGGAGGGTTGGCAAGCGGAGCGGGAATATTAGTGGGCAGAGGTGGGATGCCATAAGTTAAATAATTAGAGTGTACATCGGGCTCCCCAGTGATAGAGGCCCGAGACTCGATCAGAACTCGCCTATGCTTAGCTAGGGCCTCAGGAACCTCGTCACCCAGCGCGTCAATCCCGTCGTCAGTGATGAACTTAGAACAGGCATACCACACATGTCCGTACGTACCTTGAGGAGCGGAGCAGGCAAGGCACACAGGTGGTACGTCATATTGTAGAGCAGAAAGTGCAGCAGGTAGCGGAACAGCATTCCCCCAGACGGCCGCCAGGGCCCCAAGAGCCCGCTGGTCTTTTACAGCACGTATGCCATTACGTAGCGCACGAAACCAAGGCTCCCCTTCTGGAGGGTCAGTATTATAGAGATGCTGCTGCAGCCGACGTATCTGCCACCGCTGCACACCTTCAATAATCGCAATACGCACGTCACTAGGACACACCACCAGCAGCGAGATATCTGTACCAAGATCGCTGCGAAAGGTGTGGGCATTGGCCATCGTCCAGCCGATGCGAAGCAGGCTTAGCCACACCGCCGACAGCGGACCTCGAGCCTGCTGCCAAGTAGGGTTGTCGGACATGATGTCTCTCAGGCGGGTCCAAGCACGCTGAACTCTCGATAACTGTATCCTTCCGTCCCAGACGAACGTGGCGAACTTAACACACACACCAGTAGTGGAGTCGTAGATCGGGTCGTATTGCGGATCGGCCTGCGTCAGCAGATACGAAGTAATGCCACCGTGCTGCTTGGCCCCTGCGATCGTAGCCGCAAGCTGCCTCAAATACTTCAGCGCAGTGTCTGAGATGCCCGACACGGAGCCCCCGTGTCCAGCTGCTGGGAGAGCTCCAGTCCTCCACAGTCGGGTTGCACGCTTGCCAGTTGCATGTTTCAGCGCAACGAACTTGTCTCGACGACGTTTGAGAGCCTGTAACCTTTTCTTCTCCTGCGTGCGAACAACCCGACCAGCAGCCAATTCATGCCCGAGGTTTCTCATCCACTTACGAACAGGTAGGCGCAGCCGAGTAGCCATCCTCGAGAACACCTTCCGAGCCATTTTGTTCCCAGCAATGGGCCCCGACTTCTTGACATGGGAGTGGAGCCCCAGGACCTTGGCATCTTCAGTGAACACTTTCACCGCACGTTCCAGGAAACGGACGTCCCGAGGATCCGAAGTGACGAGCTGAATCGAGATATCGTCGACTAGGGCTCTCGGTGTGATACAGGGCGATATGTCATTGAGCCTACGCACAGCGCGCAGCGTGAGGAGGAACAGCATGCCTGTCGCATGATTGCACCCTGCAAGGATGCCTTGATGCGAGCAGAACTGCACAGACAGACTGCCGAAAGCTCGAAGACGCCGTGGCTGCCTGTACAGACCCACCAGCATCCAAGCTAGCCGCATTGGAAAGTGCAAAGCTTCAGCTTCTTTCAGCAGCTGCTCCGAATGTACCATCTCGAAGCATTTGATCATATCTAAGAGGACAGAAATGGAAATATCACCGACCAGCGCCGCCATCTCGGCAGCAATGTTGTGAGCAAAAGCACTGTCTGAGGAACTGTGGCCCCGACGAGTCCCCCAAACAGCGTGGCAGTCATTACGCTCCTGCCAGTCGAAGGTGATGGGCTTGCGAACTTTGCCCCAGACACGGCGCAGCAAAGAGACGAGCGCGATCAGTCGAGTCCCACCATCTGGTTTGGCAAGACGACACATCTCATTGCAAACACGCTCTCTAGGCCAGGCCAGGTGCAGCTCGCAAAGGTTAAAGAGTTCTGCCATCGCCGAGAAAGCCTGTCTAGGCAGGTGTATTAAAGCTCTCGGGTGAATCCCCATCATGCCTCCAGCAGTGCGAGTGGGGTAAGTGTGAACAGCATCCTCCACCTGAGCGGCCGTGATGCGCGGCAGACTGGGCCAGCTGATGGACCCACGAGGAACCTCGAGAACGGAACAACCGTGGGACAACCAAACCTCCCTCCAGGGATCGAGTTCCGCATCGGCCTGCTGGTGGGGAGCCTCACGCGCCTGGTTGCTTAAAACCTCTTGGATGGCCTTTACCTTTGAGAACCTGTGAGCCTTCGAGGCGCCAGCAGAGAAGGCGTCCCTAGCCCATTGCCTCCAAGCCTGGGACGCCGCATTCTCCGCACGAGCGATAGCAGACTTCGCCCGAATGTAGATCTTAGTAAGCATACTGGCAACATCGGGACGTGCAAGGACGGCGAAGCCGCCATTGAAGAAATCACGCACATCAGAATCAAGGCAACCAAGAACTTTTTTACAGCGGGCGATGTTGGCCATGAAACGATTGAACTCCTCAAAAGCCGAAATAAGCTTGCGACATTGGCGAGGCGCAGCAGCACACGGAGCATCGTAAACTTGCAACAGCCTAATTTGCTCACTGAGATGTTCTCTGGCCTTGCCTAGGTGTTTGGCCCACCCAAGAGCGACAGCCCAGGCACGTGCCTGTGGATCCTTATAAGTCCTCCTTCTGGGGGGAGTCCAGACAAGCTTCTTGAACTGGACCTCAAGAGGCCCACTGCGGCCCACGTAGGCCTCGGCGGCAACGCCAACACGGTCCCACCTGGCGGCCAGCTCTCTTTCCACCCCTTCGAGGACCAGATCCCAAAAATCAGCAACTTTGGCAACAGAATCCACCTGCGGGGCAGCGGTCGTAAGAACTGCGTGCCACGGGTAAATCGGAGGTCTAGCACAGCCAATGGGAGGGGTCGACGGGAAAGCTTTCGGGACCTTGGCCACCCGAGCCCACACAGGCGTCTCCCGAGCCCTCAACGTCAGCTGGACGGGGAGGTGAGGGTAGGTGGTGGCCGCCTCCAACACACACGTGCAGGGGTCAAGCTTTGGCGCCAGCCAGCTGCTGCAAATGAAATAATCAATGTGCGTGCCTGGTGAAACCTGCCTACAAGTGGGCGCCTCAGACACGAAAGCCAGTCCTCCAGCCGCCGCAATCCAGTCGGACTGGTCAAGGGCGGTGAGCGGCATGTTGAAATCGGCGCCGATGATCCACGGGATCTGCATGCCATTAAGCACTGACAGGTACTCGATGATCTCCCACACCAGCTCGGCATTGCACGGTCCGTACCCTTCACCGTCCTTGAGATAGGCCGACAGGAAGACCACTCCTCCAGGCAGAAATGACATGACGTGCGCAGCCACCAGCCTGCCAGGGACAAGTACATGACTAGCGCGGCCAGGAGGCGCCTTAATGGGAATGTGCGATGCTGCGCGGACGACGTCGGAGCGGTCACCTTCGGCGCCTCTGGCCGTCGCGCGCTCGGCTGGATCCTCAGGCTGGCCGAATCCTTCGCCACGCTCGTGCTCAAGCCCCAAAAATGCGCTGCGATGCCGCTCGCCGTTAAGCTCAGTCCTGAAGCTGCCCGCGCTACTCAGGCAGTTCTCGGAGCAGTCTGGCCCTTTTGGGCGCAATTCAAGGTCGTCGACTCGGCAACCTACCTCTGCTTCATCATCGGCCCAGGCGCCACTGTCGCCGAAGACATGGCGGCGCCGCTGTTGAAGTGGCAGGAACGCGCCAGGGCTATTGCCCGTTCACCCGCCGACGCCTTCACGAAGGCCGAGCTCTACGCTACCCGGGCGGTGCCAACAGTCTCACACGTCTCCCAGTAGTTGTTCCCTCTATCGTGGGAGCTACGCGCCACGAAGGTCGGCAGCTTCTCGCGGATCCTCAAGGTGCCCCCGACGACGTGCACCCTCGCAGATTGGCACCACTGGATCGACTGGGGCGGCCCCAAGCTCCCCTCCATCGTCATCCAGGGCGCGGCGGCCATGGCAAGAACGGCGCAACCACCACGCTCACGCGCTGGACGCCCCTCGCGCGGCTCCTCGAGGACGCGGCCGAACGCTTCCTCCCCCTGGCGGCACGTGCACGAGGAGTCCAGGACAGCGGCATCTGGGAGGAGCCCCCGTGGATCGACGACTTGGCTGAGGCCAGCTGCGGCTTCCCCAATCGCCCCCAGTTCTGCAACCATCCGGATGCCCTCCTCCACGAGATGGCTGAACCGTGGAAGTCCGACGGCGACGCGAAGGATGGGCTTCAGAAGCGGCTCAATCGTACTCTCATGCGGTGCCTCATGCCGTCGACGATGGTAGCAAAGTTTAGGGAGCGCACCCTCAAGTGGTTTCCAATGGCCGCAGGCGCCGCGAACTCCCTCGACTGGAACGCCCACCAGGAGCGCCTCATGACCATGGCCCCCAGCGTGCGGCTTGCTGCAACGAAGGCGTGGCTTGGCGCCTGGCCGACGGGACGGCGCATGCAAGGACACGGGCCTGACCGACTGTCCTTTTGGGTGTGCCAGCGGCGAAGACGACATCTCGCACGTCGTGGCCCAATGCCCGCGGTTCAATCTAGCCTTCGGGGCGGCGGCTCGGTGCCCGGCCGTGCCTCCGTTGGAACACAAATTGGGCCTCCTCCCGGCTGTCGAGAGCCTCCTCAGCGTCGCCACGTCACGGCATCTGTGGCGCATTGCCAAGCACCAGCCACAGCGCGGACACCTCACCGACGAGACGCTGCGGGGCATCGGGGCTGCGGCACGTTGCGCGGTCCGTCTGGCCAGTGGGCGCGTGACGGGGCGCTGGACACCTACCTCGGCGGCCTCATCATCCTCTTCGACGAGCTCCCGCTCGACGTTGCCGCGCCCCCGGCTCACGCCGATGGTCTCCTCGTCTGATTCCGGGGGCCTCGAAGTGAGCCCTTCCTCGACTGGTTCGTTCTCGCGCTGGAGCGCCTCGACCCCGCCCACCTTGCTCGCCTCGGCGCCAGCGGACGCCGGTGATCTTCATGATGTCGCTGAAGCTGCTCCCGATGCAACATCCACATCCACGGCACTCCTTGAGGTGCTGGTCGCGGAGGAGGAGGAGGAGGAGGAGGAGGAGGAGGAGGAGGAGGAGGAGGAGGGGGGGGAGGAGGAGGAGGAGGGGGGAGGATGAGGAGAAGAAGGATGATGATGATGATGTGATGATGATGATGATGATGATGTGATGATGATGATGATGATGATGATGATGATGATGAGGAGGAGGAGGAGGAGGAGGAGGAGGAGGAGGAGAGGAGGAGGAAGAGGAGGAGGAGGAAGAGGAGGAGGAAGAGGAAAAAGAGGAGGAGAAGGAGGAGGAGGAGGAGGAGGAGGAGGGGGAGGGGGAGGAGGAGGAGGAGAAGGAGGAGGAGGAGGAGGAGGGAGGAGGAGAAGAAGAAGAAGAAGAAGAAGAAGACGAAGGAGGAGGAGGAGGAGGAGGAGAAAGTGGAGGAGGAAGAGGAGAGGGAGTGAGGGGGGGAGGGATACGGGATGCGGGAGGAGGAGGAGGAGCAGGAGGAGGAGGAGGAGGAGGAGGAGGAGGAGGAGGCGGAAGAGGGGGGAGAACGGGAGGAGGGAGGGAGGAAGGGGGGCGCTTTTCGACTGTTCGCTTCCAGACTCCCGCCTGGGAGGGCTTGGCGGCCCGCAGCCCGGCCCGCGCCACCCCACAGGAGGAGCTGCAGGAGGCCCTGGCGGGCCTGCGGCAGGAGCGCGACGAGGCCGCGCGCGCGGGCGACGAGGGCGTCAGGCGCCGCAGGGGGAGGGGTCGCCCCGGGAGGGGTCGAGGCCCGAGCGTCTCTGGATGCGACGGGCTCCCGAGGAGCCGGGGCCATTCTGGGAGGCGACGCCGAGGGACGCCGCCTCCCAGAGTGGCCCCGGCTCCTATCGCTCCTCCTGCTGCTTCCTCCTCCCTCCCTCCCTCCTCCCCTCCCGTGGAGGGGGCGGCTCCCGCGCTGCCCGTCAGGAGCGAGGCAGAGGCGGCTGCTGCGCTCTCGCGGGCCGTGGAGTCGTTGCGGAGTGAGCTGCAGGGGGAGCAGGACAGGCGACCTTCCCTCGCCCTGTCCCCCTCCCGCTGCCCTCCCCTCCCTTTCCCCTCTCCCTTTGCTTCCCGTCTCCCCCCTTTCCTCCACAATGTCAGCCCGCGTGGACCCCACGCAGCTTGCTCCTCGCAGGAAATGTTGTGGCATCCAGGTGGGGCAGCGTATGTAGTGCAAGCTGCGTGGTGCAATCTGTGCTGTGTAAATCTATGTTGTGCAATATGTGTGGTGCAGTCTATATGGTGCAACCTATCTGATGCAATACACGTTGTGCAGTGTGAATATATATATATATATACACACACACATACGAGAACCACCCGCGCGTCGCGCGCGCTTAGGTTCTAGTCAGCTTCAGCCCTTGGCAAGGTCGCATAGCCACTGAAGTAGTTACCCACATGTTTTTTGAGCATGGGGTAGAATGCATCTATAGTGCGGGCAGAGCAGATACGAATTGCCAACAAGGACATTTGCAATATATCCCACGCGAAGCTATGCACACCCGTGAAAGCAATGGAGTGACCAAAACGGCAGCGCCGTGCAACGCATTGCCATGTAATCAAACCAGATGCGGGTCCAGTGCGGCTAGAAGCATTACAAGCACACGTTTGCAAAACAAATGCACTGCAATGCAATGCAATGCAATGCAATGCAATGCAATGCAATGCAATGCAATGCAACGCAACGCAACGCAACGCAACGCAATGCAATGCAATGCAATGCAATGCAATGCAATGCAATGCACATCCATGCAAATCAAAGCAAAGTGCGTGGAGCAATGCTCACAAGTGGTATGTGGATCACGAAGCAATTCAATTGCACCTGCAACAGAAGGCAACCCAGCGGAATACAATGCAATACAATGCACATAAAATGCAACGTACCGAACATGATCTCAGGAATTCAGAGATCCCAGGGACGAGTCGCCCTAGAAAGAGCCCAAGAGCACCCCAAGGGGAGCCCAAGACAGGGACAAAGGGCACCCAAGAACAGCCAATGAGTTTCCCGAGAGAGGCTCCAAGGCGGTCCCAAGCGTGGCCCAAGGAGCTCCAAGCAGGCTCCAGAACGGGGCACAGGAGGGACCCAAGAAGCGACCAAGAAAGCCAGAATGGCGTCAGAAAGAGAGGGCCCAAGGAAGAGCCCCCTCAGCCCTAAAAGCAAGCCGCGAGGGCTCACGAGCAGCCCCAAGAGTGACGTCAAGGGTGCCGCAAGGGGATCCCGAAGTGGGCTTCAAGAAGCCCCTTGTTGGCCTGGCAGGGATGGAGCCTGGCGCGCGCGCGGCACGAGGCTCGCACCGAAGCGTTCGCGGCGAAACGGAGACAGCGGTGGCACCGCGACGGTGGCAGCGGCACGAAGTGCATCTCAGGCTCTAGCAAGCCGCAGCCCTTGACTGAAGTAGTGATCCACACATGGTTTGAATTCAAGGTGACAGAGTACCAATCACGCTGATCACATAGCATCGCCCCGCCAATTTCGGCACGCCCCTCGCACGGATCGCGCTCCCCCCACCGCCGGGAGCTCCACTTACAGTGCCAGGGACACAGCTCGCACGCGTCCCTCCGCCCACCTTGGCACACCCTTCACACGGATCGTGCCCCAGAAGGATGTAGTTCCACGTGCTGGCCTTTTGGGAAGGTTCGCATCGCGTCCCCCCGCGTATTTCGACTCACTCCTCACACGGATCGTGCCCCAAAACCGTCGGCCCCAGAGACAGGGCTCTCATCCCACCGCCTCGCCCATGTCGGCACACCCCTGACATGGATCATTAGTTATGGGCGTCTTATGGGCGTCTTGGACGCCTCTCGTGGGCTCGCGGCGTGATTCTCAGAGGCTTATTGAAGCTTGTGGTAAGCTTCTTGGGGGCATATCGACGTCTCTTCGGGGCCACTCGGGAGCTTCTGGGGGTTTCTTGAGATGTTTGAGGGCCTCCCTGGGGGTCTCGGGGGCCCTCTGCCTCCCTCCATTCGTCCCTCCTTTTCCCCGTCTCTCTTCCCTTACATCCCTCTCTGCCTACCTCCCCTATTGGAAGAGTTGTAGTCTGTCTGGGGGGGCTGCCGGGTCGTCGCTGTGTCGCATTGCCATCGCTGTCGCCGCGTTTGTTTATTTCTCTGCACCCATGCCTGCGCGTGCGAGAGGCATGTACCTGCTTCGCCAGGCCGCAGCCGGAGTGAATAGTGAATGGATCGAGATTTGGGCGTGGGAGGAGAGCTGTCAGAGGTCACATCGACCTCGTCAGCTCAGAACGAAATGTTTGGGGAATCCGGCTCAATATTTCCAGATACCTGCGATTGTGGTAATGGCAGAGTCAGGATTCGCGACACCAAACTCACATGACTGGAGGAAACTACTTTTGATCATTTTCAGCTGGTGGCTGCTCCAGAAGTTCGCGCCCTGGTGCAGTACGTGGACGCGAGAAGTTGTCTTGGGGTGATGTCGAGAGCACCTCCAGGTCATGTCGGAATCATGGAGTTGTGTTCTGGTGGTGCTTAGGCCACTCGGGCCCGTTTGAGGGCCGCCGTGCCACCGTGTGGTCATTGGGACCACTCTGGATCACCCGTTGCATTTAGATTGGGCCACCTTGTGGGTGCCCCGCGGCCAGCTGGAAGCCACGTCGAAATCGAATGCGGCTCGCTGGACCCTCTTGGGGTCGCCCTGAGGGCCCGGTAGGTTCGTGTCGCGTCGGCGTCGTGGCGACCCCCGCCGCGGGCGTTCAAGGTTGAACGCCGCGGGCGGCCCAGAATCGGCCAATGTGGAACTCTCGGGCGATCGCAAGAAACCGCCGACCGTTCAAGGTACAGCACTGGGGTCGCGGAGCCGCCTTAGCATTTTTTGTTGGTCGTCTAGAGGTCCTGCGCGTTTCCAAGGCATGTCTTGTTGCGGCCAAGTATCGCCCTGCGTCGTTTGATGGTCCTGGGACTTGAAACTGACCGACCTCCAGATAATCAAACTGAGGGGAGAAACGTGCTGAGACAATGCTCGGCGAAGCGATGAAAAAGAAGACGGATAAGCAGGGGAGGAGGAGGAGGAAGAGGAGGATAGAGTTGTGGTCGCTGAGGAGGAGGAGGAGGAGGAGGAGCCGAATAGCTTTTGGAGCTGCATGTGGACCAGTAGGAGGAGGAAGCGGGGAAATGCAGAAGAGGAGGAGGAGGAGGATTACTGCCAGTGCAAACGCAAGATGCACCAAGATGTTGCCATGAACGCTCCTTCCAAGTTCCTTATTTACCAGTCCCTACAATAATTAATGTTCATTGTTGGAGGGCGCCCCATTGAAAGACAGCCGTCTGATAATCTTCAGTCGTGGCGAGACAGTTTCTGTGATTTCAACGCCGCGACTCAACTTGACTTTGCCGTCCTGACAGTCCTAACTCGTTCCAGAACGTTGCTTCTTGGATCTCAGCCTGATTGTTGTGTCCTGACAACCCTAGATCGTTCCAGACTGCGATTCCTGGGACTGCAACAGTGCGTATCAACGTGACCGTTGTGTCCTGGCAGTCCTAAGTAGTGTCAGAGCACTGCTCCTGGGACTTCAATCCAACGGATTTTTGAAAGGGCGTAAACATTTCAGACCAAAGTGCGCGGCGCCAAGGCGAGAGCCTCCTTTTGAAAAGGAGCAGCCTGGCACCCTTGAAACTGTTGCAAGCTTTTTTTGAACAGAATGCGCGCGACGCTAAGGCGATAGCAATATTCTGGAAACCACCTTCCATCTTTAGATATGTTGCACAGTTCAAGCTTCAAGAACATGATTGGTGAGGGTGTCTCGAGCGAAACACCCAGCCCACCCTACCGGCATGTCTGAGGGGTACGACAGGGGACAGTTGTTAACAATGAATGAGATTGGTGCTGAGTATGATGATGACGAAGAGGAGGAGGAGCAGGAGGAGGAGGAGGAGGAGGGTGGCGACGATGGGGAGGACGAGGAGGATGATGGGATCGGGAGCGGTGATGTGACGATTCTGAGTTTGCCTGTGATCACGATGGTGGCCAGCATGCGGATACATGCAAGGAGGGAAAGGTGGAGGCATCACTCCGGGAGGGTGGCGAGAAGCGCAGCGGCGGCAGGAGCCCCCCCCCCCCTCCCCGAGGAGCAGGCGGCGCGCGCCTCCGCCGCGCGGCGGCGTGCGGCCTCGGAGCTGCGCGAGGCCCAGGACGCCCGGCCCCCCCCCGTCGCCAACGTCGTCGTCGTCGCCGCCGCCGTCGTCCTCGTCGTCGTCGTCGTCCTCGTCGTCGTCGTCTGCGCGGCGTCGTTGCCGTCGTCCTCGTCTGCGTCGTTCGTCGTTCGTCGTCGTCGTCGTCGCCGCCGTCGTCCTCGTCGTCGTCGTTCTCGTCGTCGTCGTCGTCGTCGTCGTCGTCGTCGTCGTCTGCGCGGCGTCGTTGCGGTCGTCCTCGTCTGCGTCGTTCGTCGTCGTCGGCGTCGTCGTCGTCGGCGTCGTTCTCGGCGTCGTCGTCGTCGGGCGCGGCACGAGGAGGAAGGAAGGAAGGAAGGAAGGAAGGCGCGAAGGGTGGATGGAACTCAGAAGAGGGGGATTTGTTGCATCGGCAAATAATTTGAATAAGACGCGAGATGGCCCGTCCAAATTGTGTCCGCGAGCGGCTGTTGCTACCCCACGCAGTCCGAGGCAAGTTTGAGCGGTTTACTTACGTCGGATGGTTCGCAGCTGACAGCGTGGAACCACATGCCACTTCGCAACTGCCCGAACGTGAACGAAGAGGCAAAGCCTGACGCTCATCGATGGCGCTGGAATCGGGACGACTACACAGGCTCCTCGGAAGCCCGACGCTGCTCCAGCTGAGGTACGCGATCCGCCAGACAAGGGGGAGAGTCAAGATCGGCCATCCCCGCACTGATGCACAGCGGACGGAATGTAGGCCGAGCGTGAGGGAAATCATATGGGAGCAGTGCCCACTATCACACAATACGAGCAGCAGCGTGCTTGTCACATTATTACACGGGACGAGTAAGAATGAAGCCACATCGGGAGCGCTAGCATGTGGTATGATGCTCGCCATGGGTACCAGGAGAAAAAGAGCAGGATTCCCTTATTCGGGGAACTAAGCTCTTGCTAGAGTGAAATCCATGACGACAGCGCACAGGAATACTATCGAGTGTGAAACCTAACGTAGACACTGCTGCGTCAGTGACATACCTTTCGCTACATGGGTGAAGCAGTGTTGGGATACGCACCTGGCGTTGTAAGCGTCAGCTACCGCCATTCACGCCGACCGCGACTTTGGCCCATCGGACGTGTATTGCAAATGCATGGCCACTGCACGTCAAGTGCCAACTAGAACGGGGTTGGACTATGCCCGAGAATTGCATGATCCAGAACGGCAAGATGGTGCACACTGAGTCCATAAGCTGCGTCCAGCAAGCATAAAACAAGTCTGCTCGATGCCAACACGTCTGCTCATGCATTTACCGAGAGAGACGTTCGAAGAGCTGAGCTGTGAGCAGAGCTGCCGCGTCACGTTTGCGAGAGTCTCGCGCCGCATTGGGACAAATGCCCGGGCAAAAATTGTCACTGGTATCGCTTGCCTATTCCGGCTGCATGGCCAATGCAACCTCGCAGAGTGTGTGACGATTTGGCTCGTGCTTGGGTGTGTAGAGAAAACACGTTTGCGTGAGTATCGGGTGGCGCCCGCTGTATGATAGCAGGGTGCCCTGTGGGCATGGAGCGTTAGGCAAAGAACTTCACAGTTCGGGGATAGAACTTAGATGCATCCGTCCCGTGCGGGGTGGTGGTGGTCGCTACCGCACCGTGCCAAGCGAATATTGATACCCATTGCCACGATTTTGTCTCCTCTTAGCATCGCCGCCGTCGCTTCGTTCAGGAATATCGCGGCCTGTACTTCGGACGCACCTGAACTTACGGAAAGCATGCATCTCAGGCACAGTTTGCTGATCGAAACGCTCAACTCGCTCGAGCCCTTACCACTTGAACAAGATGTTGTAGATCATCCCAAGCGGGACCAAACGACGGAAGGAGTGACGGAGGGGCATTTCGAGCACGAGGAACGGTTGATAGATTAATTCCTGCACCACCCGCTCGACCTGGGTGTTGGCGCAAACTTGAGTACGCCCCCTCGCCTCCGATTCATTGTTGGTTGGCATCGCCAGCGGGGCGCAGGCTTTCGACCAGTCGACAGGTCGACACATCGCGGCGCAGCCCGCCAATATCAAATTTGGAGCGTGGGGGGCGTTCATTCGACGATCGACGCTCGGTCCATACCCCTGCTGCTGCCCCCCACTCTGGGCGCCTGGAGAAGCAGGGCATGGATGAAGCACATTGTTTCGGAGGCTGGAATGTTATCCATGCCGCCGCTACGGCCCCTCGTAGGGTCGCGGCGTGAGCATGGGCATGGATATCATGTCGACCGCTTGTTCACACAAATCGGCACAAAAGGGGCAATATTGTGCACATCAGCCGGACCCTCGTCCTGTTTTCTCCCCCACTTCCTGAAACGCGAAACGCCGAGGACGAGCTGGACCGCAAGGCGCCGCGCAGTCGCTACTCGGCGGCCGCCCTCGTCGTCGTCGTCGCCCGTCGCCGTCGCCGACGTCGGTCTAAACCTCCCTCCCCATTATCATTGACTTTTTTCTTTGTGAGCAACTCCTCCCTGTCGCGCCCCGAGGCCTGTCGAAAGGGCGTTAATGATCCTGAAGTTTGAAACATGCAGGAGCTTGACGGATGGAGGGTGGTCCGTTTTCAAAATATGGTTCTCGCGCACATTCGCTTCAAAAGGCTGCAAGAGTGTCGCGGATGGAGCACGGCCCGTTTTCAAAATGTGGTTCGCGCTTTAGCGCCGCGCGGATTCGTTTTGAAAGTTGACAGGAGTTTCACCGATTGAGGGCGGTTCTTTTCAAACTGTGGCTCTCGCTTGAGCGCCGCGCACATTCGTCTTCAGAATTTGCAAGAGTTTCGGGGATGTTCATAGTTAACGTCCTAGACATGGTGTTTTGGCATGATGCCGAAATGTCAGAGCGCAACAGTCACGTTGGTTAACGATGTTGAACCAGGAATTGTGTTCTGGCACGAGTCAGGGTCGCCAAGGCGCAACAATAATGGTGATTCGCGGCGTTGAAGTCCAAGGGATGGCTTTCTGGCACACTTCCAAATATTCAAACGGTTGTCTTCCAACGGGGCATTGCCTCTAGTGAAAACGCATCCGTGTAGGAGCCTACGAAGAGGGAATTCTAGACGCTTCGCGTATCCCCACCAGTCTTCCTTGCTGGTCGCCAGCGGGATTTCCACGCCACCGGGTTTGGGAGTATCTGTTCTGGCTCTCCTTCTGAGTGGTTGCCCGCTCGCTCGCTTCGCTTGCCTTTCTTTTCCTGCTGCCTAGTCGCGGCCCGACTAGTGTTCGGACGGCTTTCGACCGGCCTCGCGAGCTTGTTGACCAAAAAGTATCCCCACCAGCCCATCCGGAAACGATGTCCAGAGGAGTTGAGGTGATCAGGGAAGTGCGGGAGCAACGAGGTGGACGGCCGAACCGTGCGAAGGAGGGAGGAGGAGAAGAAGGAGACTGGATGGATGGATGAGGGAGTGGGAAGAAGAAAGGTGAACATGATGATGATGATGCTGATGATGATGATGATGATGATGATGATGGTGATGGTGATGGTGATGGTGATGGTGATGATGATGATGATGATGATGATGAGGATGATGCTGGTGATGGTGATGATGATGATGATGATGATGATGATGATGATGATGATGGTGATGGTGCTGCTGATGATGATGATAATGCTGATGATGCTGATGATGATGAGGAGGAGGAGGAGGAGGAAGAGAAGGAGTAGGAGGAAGGCGGGGCAGGAGGAGGAGGAGGAGGGGGCCGAGCACAAAAGAGCCAGGGGTCTCTTGGATGCCTCTCGGAGCCTCTTGGGATATCGCTGGGGCGCTTCTTGGTGGCCTCTTGGGACGTCTTGGGGGTCTCTTGGCAGTTCTGGGGGCTCTTTTGGCGTCTTGGGTGCCTCGGGGGGGCCTCTTGGAGCGTCTGGGGGGCATCTTGGGTGCCTCGAGGATCCTCTTGAAGCCTTTTGGGGGCCTCTAAGGGGTCTTTTGGGAGCCTCTTAGAAGCCTTTTGGAGCCGTCTGGGCGCCTCTTAGGGCCCTCTCGGGGCGCTCTTGGGAGCTTTAGGGGCGCTCTTTGGGCCATCGTGGAGGCCATCGATCAAACAAGGGGGGAGCTCCAATTATCGCCCCCCTCGGGAGCCCCAAACATCGCCTCTTGGGGCGCTCTTGTAGCGCTCTTGGGCGCTCTTGGGGCCGCCTTGGGGCTCTCTTGGGCCTCTCTTGGGGCCCTGTTGGCCCATTTTGGAGCCATCTCGAAGCCTCGGATGCCCATCAGAAACGAAAGGCGAGAAAGCAACACACATTGATTTTCCTTAGGTTTTGGACGCATGTTGGTCTCTTCGGGGCTTCCTCGGGGAGCTCGTTGGCCACTTGGAGCCGTCTTGGAACTTTCTTGGGGCATCTTGGAGCATGTTGGAAGCCATCTTGAGGCATCTTTCGCTATCTTGATCCATCTTGGAGGCCATCTTGGGCTCTCTGAGGCCCTCTTGGAGCCGTCTTGGGCCATGTTGGACGCCCCGACCGCTCGCGAACCCCCCCGTCCAGGTCCATGGGATTGGGTAGGGGGAGGGGTAAACCCCTCCCCGAAGAGGAAGAAGGGGGGTGGAAGAGGAAACGCCCTAGACCACCTACGCCCACAGGGCTGGTGGGACTTGGAGGGAGGGTTTATTGCAACATTGTTGATGGGTCTTGGGTTCGCACAGGTCATTCTGCTCCTCCTCCTCTTCTTCCTCCCTCCCCCCGCGTCGCGAGACCTAGTTGGGGTTATGTTGGGGAGGACTTTTTCGACGGTCGCCTCTGGCCCAAAGTTTCGGGGCCCTCAGTCGCAGTTCTTAGTCTGAGGCGCTCTATCGGACCATTTGTGCTGTTCTGCTCTGCTCTGCTCCTCCTCTTCTTCTTCTCCTCTCCTCCCTTCCCCTCATCATCATGGTGTCTCATCCCGTCGGGTGGGCGACCGCTCCGCGGCCTGCAGTGGACCCCACGTGAGGGAGGCCCACGGGTGCGCCACGCCAGGGCAACGCCGGCGCTGCGGAGGAGTGCTGGGCAGTAGCGGCTTGGGGTGCCGACCTACGGTCAGGAACTTTTGGATAGCGTGTCGCTCCACCGGTTCTGGCCCACCACGCTGCGGCACGACACGCTAGCCAATTTCCAGTCCGCTGGCGTCAAGATCCCGAGCCTGTCTGATCCTCCCGCCCCGCGGAGCGGAGCGACACGCCATCCGCTTGCAAGGCATAGAGTGTCGCCAGGGCCGCCGCGGCGACACGCTTAGCAAAAGATCCCGACCGTAACATGGGCGGGGACTGAGGCATTTGAGCCCCGCGGCGGCTCAACGCCACACCTGACGTAACGAGGGGTGGCCAGCAGCGTGCGCAGAGGCCAGCCGGGCCGCGCTCGAGGCCGTGAGGGTGACCGCGCACGGTTGCCTGCGGATCAGTGGTGGGCTTAGTTGCCCTGATATGCTCGTTTTGAAACGCAACACGCTTCAAAACGTCCGTGTCAGCACCCTGCGTGTGGGCTTGGCACGTTTTGGCCTACTTTTAGGCGAACGTGTCGCACCAGACCTGCGGTTTCAGCCTACATGTTGAGCTCCGTGCCAACACGTTACGGGCTGCATGTTGCGTATCGGGGCAGCTAAGCTGCGGATCAGCTCTGGGGCATGACCTCTTGCATCTCGCCCGTAAGCTTGCGGGATCACCATCATCACCATCCTCATCTTCATCGTCTTTCTCAAAGCCTCAAGGCTGCGAGCGCGCGGGCCGTCTCGGCGCAGCCCTGGCATTCTCATCCTTCCTCCTCCTTCTCTTTCTCCTCCTGCATCCTTTTTCCTTACGAATACCTCCTCCCTGTCGCACCACCCGACGTATCGTTAAGGCGGGCCGGGCGTTTCGGTTAAGACGCCCCCACCGCTTAGAATCCTGAAGCAATCTCCCACATACACAGATCAAGGCGGTGTTTTTTCAACATGGGGTTTGCGCTTTGGTGCAGCGCGCTCTCGGCTCGAACACACCCCACAGGAACTCCGGTGGACGGCATTTTGTTCGAAATGGGCACAGTCGGGTCGCTGAGGAAGGAACCCTTTTCGTTGGGGAGGGGCTCCGTGTTCCTTAAGTGTTTCACAGCTTGCCTCAGGTTTTCCTCACGTTTTCGACGGTAGATCGAAGTTTAACTTATGGATAAAAGGGGCCTCGTTCCTTATTTAGGGTTCCTTAGGTCGCTGTCGTCACGGCGCCGGCGCCGCCCACACTGTGCTTCAAAATCCTGGCTGCTACACGGGCGGAGTTCGAGTTCTTTTCAAAACGGATGTCTCCCTTTGGCGCCGCATTCGTCTTCGGCATGTCAAGCAGCTACACGGATAGACGGCGATGCCTTCTCAAGTTTGGGCTCTCGTTTTGGTGCCGCACATCCGTCTCAACAAAACAGCAGTCGCTTCGCGGCTCCTTTCAACATGGGACTCTCGTTGGGTCTCGACACCTCAGGACCAGAGTCCCGAACATGTTCTAAGCCGCTCGAGGCGAGAAGTTCTTATGCCCCAGCACCTCATTTTTGCTGTGGGCCAGAAGAGCTGACGTGGCTGCCGATATTCCCTCCCCGCTCTCTTCCCCTTTCCGCCGCAGTCAGGCCAGACCAGACCAGCCAGACCATGGGGGCGCACTGCGGTTCACGAAGCACGCTGACCAGACCAGACGAACAGCTTGCCAGACAGGACCAGCCGGCGAGACCGACCAGACCACACCGACCAGACCAGACTCGACCGCTCAGACCGAGCCGAGCAGCCAGACCGATCCAGGCCAGACCAGACCAGCAATGCCAATAAGGTGAACTACGCGACCAGCCAGACCAGACCAGACCAGCCAGACCAAACAACAGAAAAAAAACAGCTAGACCAGGGGTGGAGAGCGGGGAGCGACTCACGAGGCACGTTCACTACCAGCCGGCGAGACCAGCCAGACCAGACCGACCAGACCAAACGACACCTACCAGGCCAAACGAGACCAACCAGACTAGACCAGACCAGCCAGACCAAACCAGACCAGATCGACCAGACCAGCAAGGTGAATCATATTCGACCAACCAGACCACACCAGACCAGCTAGACCAAGCACTAGACCAGACCAGGCATACCATGGGGGGGCGATTCGCGAAGCACGTTGACCAGACCAGACCGACCAGACCAAACAAGACCGGTTGGTGCGACCAACCAGGCCAGACCAAACCAGACCAAACCAGACCAACCGAGCCAGATGAGACCATTCGGACCAGACCAAACCAGACCAACCAGACCCAGACAGACCAGGCCATAGCAGCTAGACCAAACACCAGGCCAGACCAGCCAGACCATGGGGGTGGGCGATTCACGAAGCACGTTGACCAGACCATACCAACCAGGCCAGCCAGACCCGATGAAAAAAAAATTGCA